ATGGCAGTAATTACATTTAAATGTGATAGAAATAAAAATATTGCGATCGTTGGGTGAATTTTAATTTAAATGTGATGAGCAATGCTATCATTAATTATCTCTGTAATAAGTATTTGTAATAAAATGCGAATTATAACACTTCATCGGGCGAAGTAGAGGTGATACCGAAGTTGTTATGTAATTTTAGTTCTTCTTAATCCAAAACATGGTTCTATCCACCGACTGTAAATAGACGCAAGTACCAAACGTAATTTTACTCAAGAATGTAAAATCTCACTGAAAATCCTTGACTCATTATACCATACAAATAAAAAAATTTGTGTCTATGTTTTCCGTAACATTTCGCACTGCGGGAAGATTAACGAAATGACTGATTGTCAACACAATTCCTAGAATTGAAGTGATGGTTCGTTCAATTTCTGTTCTAATTCCCACTTTTCATCGAACTTCATTTCGCACGCGGATTACCGTTCGAAACGTAATTTTCACAATTCTGGTAATTTTTATTAGATTTTTTAGTCTGTGTAAGAAATTCATCTGGATGAATGGGAAGAGGCTGAAGCCGGGAAAGGGTATATAATTTTTCTACGTACAAGGGAAGCCCTATTTTACACCCCTGCAACAGTGCTAGTGGGTTACTATATATGGAACCAGCAAATGCATCCATGGGTGTGCACTCAGTGGCGGTGGAGGATGCATTTCCGGAGAGACTCAACGATTCCATAGAGAGAAAAAGAGAGAAAAAGGAGAGAAGAGGGGGCATGTAAGAGGATTGCATGGAATGGAATCTCTTCGGCGATGAAAAATTTTACCCTCGAGTGGATTTGTATCCCACCGAGTATAAAGGAAGTGGTTCGATTCGCTGGGTTTTATCTGAAGGAAATTATTTCATGGGATGATGATATTGATTTTTTTTCCTCCCCATTTCAACTACCTCCAAATATTTATCATTCAGACGAGGGAAACAATGTGACTGAATTCAAACTAGCGCAGAAATATAATATCACAGACGTCCGTAAAAGATGTTTTTTAAAAAATGTCAAATGATATTTGAACCGTAGGTTGTGATCAGTGGATTGCGTCAGCATTGATGGTATGATTGAGAGCAAGACTCATTGCGTCACATGATACCTCTTCAATTATAGTTGAAGAGCCAGACAGACTTTACACTATGAAAAATAATTATTTTCTAGGTATTAATAATGATAATCGTATTTTTCTAGAGGATGGTTATATCGGTTATGACCTTGAATAAACTCGATCAATAATTACTGATATAAAATAATTCCGTCGATTTGTTTCCCAAAAAAAAATTCAGTATTATTAGGAAATGAATAAAAATTAGAGAGACCCTTATCCAACAGCATGTCCCACATAATGACCCTAAAGCAATATAATAATTACAATTATATTATATGATATAATTATATGTAATAATATTATGTTATAATTATAATCGGAACTGCCTGAAAATAACTGGTGTAATGAAAAAATTGTTTGGAAATAGTATATTGGGTTACCAGGAGGTGAAAATAGTAGTTTTCATTACTATGTGCCGAAATAGTATTTTTTACGCCTAGGACGGAAAACGAGAATCTGACCAATGCGACTTTATAGTCTAACCTCGCTTCGCTCGGATAAAAACGCGTTTTCGGCCACAATGACATAAAATAGCATCATAGCCACGGCGAAAAAAGTGATTCTGACTCATGCGCGTTATAATCCTCGTCCCCGACTCGGACTATAAAGTCGCATTCGTCAGATTCCCTTTTTCCGTCCTAGGCGTGAAAAATACTATTTCAGACACGCTCTACGTCCTTTCGCATACCTAAAAAATCCCTTTTCCGCACTTGTTACGAAATATACTATTGCTGAAGAAGCTTGAGATAATTTTACTTTTGCCAAATATTCATTTGTTTAAGAAGAAATTTACGTTTGGAATGCTGTATTTCTCTAATTGAGTTATCATGAATATATTGCATTCGAGGATGATTATCATTAGATAATCATCTCCGACGATTCTGTTTGCGATATAATTGTCGCAATTAAAAACTAATGGAATTACCTCGGAAGAGACTCGACTAGTGGAATAGGTTATAAATAATTAAAAACATTTTCTCAGTGTATAAATGGGCCATTGGCCATTTTTTCTTCTCAGGCAAGAAAGAAAAAGCAGTCCAATGAAAATGAAGGAACAAAGGGGAAAGGGTTGATTAAGAAAAGAGGTAATGCCCTAGTTGTGCTTCCGGTTACGAGGAATTTCGTGGGTTAATTCTTCTCAAGTATGCAGAGGAGTGTGGAAAATATTCAACGACGAAAGCGGATAGAATTAATGAGAGAATTCTCAAAAACGGGATCAGTATAATTCCTCCATTTGCTCGAATGCTTTACGTTGAGGCGGTTTAAACAATTAAATTTTATAGTAGGATGTATAAGAAATATGAATAGTTGTAAAAGTCATTTTCTGACGATTGGGATTTCACTTGTGATATTTTTACAGTGAAAAATATTTTTCTATATTTTTTACGATACATATTTTTTATCAGATTGGAAATGATTTGATTCACGCTTTCACCAAGAATTCTTAACTATTTCCTGATGTACCAGTTATCCCGTTGATTGAAAAAAAAAAAAACGTTCGACGACTCTAGGACTCAGATGTGTCTAGTCGTCAGACTGCTCAGACACAATGTCGGATGTCTGTACACCGTGATACGCCATTTCTCTTGTTTCTCAACTTGTTAACCATGTGTTTCCATGAAAAGTAACTTCGTATCAGCGGGATGAAACTTCCATGGAGCGTCTGACGTCAAGCGAATGGTATTGCCTTGTTCATAATGATGAGTTTCAACAGAAACTTCGGAGTATATGGGTCGAAAATTTTAATTACTTTTGGAAAAGATAAAAAGAGCAGTTGAAAAAAAAAGGTACTGCGCATTTTTTTTTAATACTAGCGTATATGGCGCGCTATGCGCGCCAAATCGTCCACGTATGGGGTGTTATCATTGGAATATATATATATTTATATATATCCAATGTAATATATACATATATAGAATTTCAAAAAGAAGATAGAAAAAAGTCTAAAAATTTATATAAAAAAAATAATTTAAAATTTAATGAATTATATTAAATTCATATATTATATTATTATATATATTATTTATATATGTATATATTATATATATATATATATCATATTATATAGATATATTTTGATATGCATAGCGCCAAAAAAAGCTGACAAAAAACGTTACATGCTTTTTTTTAAAAGGGATCACTCATGATTCAGGACTTTGTTGATGGATATACTGTAGTTTGGATTTTAACCCATCGTACATTGAGACAAACCAATTATCTTCGTCAGGGATCAGTTTGCTAAAGAGAAATATATATTTCAACTAACAATCATTTCAACGAACGGTAGTCATTGGTCACCTGATTTTCGAGCTTGACTACAAAACAGACCTATTTCTGATTTAACTGACTGACGCCGTTCTCAGATCTAGATCAGGGTGATCAACTTCAATATTATCTTTTTCAAGATTCTCTTCTCAAGTTAACATCTAGTTTATAGAATCCCAAATCGTTTCCTCTTAGAATAGCCCAAAATCCAAACTGAAATCAGGACGATCTTGATCTGATCCAGGTGATTTCAGGCTGACTTCTCTCACCAGATGTCAGTCCGACTGATGCCGTCCTTGTGTCAAGATCAGGCTCATCACATTCCATACTACCCTTTTCATGATGCTTTTCTTAAATCAATATTCGGATGATAGAATCCCAATTAGTTTCTTCTTAGAATAGCCCAAAATCCAAATTGAAATCAGGACGATCTTTTTTTAATCTGATTCAAGTGATTTCAGGC